CCCCCCCTCCCTTGCATCCCCGCCCCCTCCCCTTTCCTTCTTACGCCTCCTCCTCCTCCTCGGTTGCCATCCTCCGCCCCTTTCTTCTTCATTCCTTGTCCCCATCTCTCTCTCTCTCTTTCTCCTTTTCGTTCCCGTTCCCGTTCCCCTCCCCTGCCCCCATGCCCCTCTACACTTACACAGTCTGAATACTACTCCCCTCTCTCCCCTGACCCTGTCCGAAGAATGTCCCGTCATTTTTTTATCCCCCGATGCTTTTTTGTTTCAATCCGATCGTTTCCGGTTCTTCCAAAATGGTGCTCCCGCTGCAGCGCCGCCCTCATTTCCGCGCTTCGGCCATCGTGCTCCCGCTGCAGCGGTGGCCACGTTCCCGCGGCTCCTGTTGCTCCAAATCGCAGTCCCGCAGCAGCACTGGCGTGTTCGGTCCTTCTAAGTAGCGCTGTCGGTGTAGTGCTGGCCTCGTTCCAATGCTACGGTCCTTCCAGATCGTGCTCTTGCTGCAACGGCGGCCTCATTCCCGTTTTCGGTCCTGGCCTCGTTCCCGCGCTCCAGCCCTTCTATAGCGTGCTCCCGCTGCAGCGCCGGTCCATTTCCGACTGTGCGAACAGATCAGATATCTACGGCATGGTAAGGGATGGGAGGGAGGGGTATGACGTCGGATGTGACGCTAGCGCACCTAGTCGGGCGCGCGACTAGCGATCCATGGATTTGTCGCGCAATCGCCAAATCCATGGATCGGGGGAAGTGCCCTCCCCAAAATGCGGCCGGTGCCGCCTCGCTCGGCGGCGGAAATCCTCGATTTCCCGTGGAAACGGGACCCGTCGCTACTCCACGCCCACCTGATCCATGTTTGCGATCGCCTGACCTAGCTTGCCCCTCCCCCCTCCCCTCCGTCCCCCGTCCCCCACGCCCACTTGATCCATGTTTGCGATCGCCTGAGTCCACCCCCCTCCCCTCCGTCCCCTCCCCTCCGTCCCCCGTCCCCCTCGCTCCTGGCCTCGTCCTGCAGTGGCAGGAAGGCGCCGCCCGAGTCCACCAGGTAGACGCAGGGCAGGCAATTCTCCTGCGCGATCTGCTGCGCCCTGCCGGCAGAGGAGCAGGAGGACGAGAGCAGTGAGGCAACCAATGATGTTGAGGAGTAGCAGTAAGCATGCGGAGGAGGAGGAGGATGAGGAGGAGCGAACGTGCCCATTTTTTTTGAGGAGCGAACGTACCCAAGATGGAGGAGCCCAGCGTAGGGAAACCCAAGATGGAGGAGGAGGAGGAGGAGGAGGGAAGGCACGAGGGATACATATGTTGAGCATGTCTGGTGTATGAACGATAATGGTCATGGTGAGTGCGAGGGCAAACAATGAGGACGGGGAGCCTGAGCAGGATCAAACACATTAAATGTCGTATCCTTGGATCGCCGTCCCCGAGCTCATTGTGCGGCGATCGGTGCAGTCAGCGCGTCCCCTAGGGCAAGCGCCTCAAGGAAACTCTGCCAGAGCGGCCTGTGTTCTCTGAAGACTTCATCGCGCCTTTTGCGAGGCGCCTGCCTTTCGCTAAGCGCCCAGCTGGTGCCGAAGCAGCTTGTCTGTAGTGCTGTTCCCCCGCTCCTCCTCCTCCTCCTCCTCCTCCTGCTCCTGCTCCTCCTCCTCCTCCTCCTCCTCCACCTCCTCCCCCTCCTCCTCCTGCTCCTGCTCCTCCCACCCTCCATTTCCCATCTCCCTCCTCCTCCTCCTCCCGCTCCGCCTCCTCCTCCTCCTCCTCCTCCTCCTCCTTTTCGTCCTCCACCTCCGCCCACGTCCTGTTTCCTCCGACCCTTCTCCCACCTCCTCTCTCTTCGTGGCTTCTCCCCTGCGTCTCCTCGTCCCATTTTCCCAAAACTCATCGTGCTCCTGCTCGTCCGTAGCTTTCTTCCTCCTCCGCCTCTTCCTCAGATGCGAATCGTGGCCGCTTTCGCGGATCGCAGACAGACTCCCCAGAAACAGGACGCTCCACCACTGCCTTCCTCCTCCGCCTCTTCCTCAGATGCGAATCGTGGCCGCTTTCGCGGATCGCAGACAGACTCCCCAGAAACAGGACGCTCCACCACTGCCTTCGCCGAATCTCGTCGCCGCGGCAAAACCTGTTGTCCTTCGCTCGGGAACGATCGGCTCTGCTCGGAATGCCGAAAGACACGGTCAAATCGTAAGGCAAAAGGGCACAAAAGCGAGTGGCGCCTCCAAAAATCCACGGCAACGCCTCGGCTTCTCAAAGCGGTGAACTGGCCAGGATCCACCGCGATCTGACCAATCCCATTTCTTTCTGGAGGCCGGGCGTGCGCGAACGCATGTCCATCTTCGCATTGGCCGTACGCGCGCTTATCCGGGCGCTGAACTCTCAGTGGCGCGGTCCTCTTCGTCTCCTGCCTGAAGGTGAGGAAGACAAGGGGGAAGGCTTTGTGCTGACACCCCCAGCGGGGACAGTCCGTGGCGTCTGTGCGCGCGCGTGTAGCGGCGCCTTACCGCTCCTGCAACTGCAGGGTTGAGCGGGTCGCATAACCGCGGTGGGCACGCTGCGCCTGCGGCGCGCCGGTTGCGGCACCGCTAAGGATGGCAGCAGCCGTGGGTCGTGCGGCGCGCGGGGCAACGTGCTATTGAAGACTGCGCTGTGGCGCGCGTGGTCGCGCGCGTCCGCGGAGAGATGCGGTTGCTACGCTTCGGCATAGCCTACCAAACACCCGTCTCGGATGGTCCTGCTGGACCGTCCTGTTCGCTGCGATTTCTCGGTGATGATGAACGCGTCGGCGTTTTCCTTGCCGTTGTGCGCGGGCGCGGGCTGCGGGTTAGCGGGGCTGACGTGACCCTGCCCCAGCTGTGGCCGCAGCGTGGTGAATGAAGCCATAGAAGACGCAGCGCGTTGCTGCTGTGTCCTGCTGGCAGTCGATCCCGAACATGTTGTCGTAATGGTCGTGAGCGTGAATACGCGGTGGCGGCGTTGGCTTTGACCCGTGGGTGGCCTGGTCCAAAGGCTGGCGCATCCTGTCAGTAGGGCGTTTTGGACACATGGGCCACAGATGCGGACTTTTGCTGTTGACCAGGAAGCGTGCTCAGCCGCCACGCGCGTCAGCAAACATGCTGCGCCCCGATGGGGTCGCACCTGCAACTGCGGATGACAGTTGCCGCGTGCAGCGGTGAGCGCTCTGAGCTTGACTGGAGGTCGAAAAACGGTGCTTTGTAGCGTGTCTCTTGCTCGGTGGCTGCAAGTGGAGGTTGCGACCGCTGGCGGGCGTTGGTTGCGGCACAATTACACATGGTGAACGCAGAAGCGCCCGGTCGGCGGCCGCCCCTGCGGGGGGCGCCAGGACGGAGAGAAGTGGCCGACGAGCGCGAGGAAAGGGCGGCTGGACAGAAGCACCATTGAGCGAAGCTGTGCGCACCGCGTTGTGGCGCTGCCTCGCTGTTCCGTCATGCGTTGACCTTATCCGCGGCGTCCTCCTCATTTCGGTCTCCTCGTCCTGATAGTTATCCTCGTCCTCTGCCTTGCGTCGCCCTCCTCGTCCTCGGGCTCGCCGCGTCCTCTGCGCCCCCTGACTTGACTTGCCCTGCCCTCCTCGTCCCTCGGCGGCAGCAGGTGCTGAGCGGCGCGTGGCGTGGTGGGAGAGAAGACAGACTGAGCGCCCAGCCCTCGGGTGGGCGCCCGCGTAACTTGCGGCCCGCTGCCGCGGGCGCGGGGGCGCTGGCGCGCGCGCATTCTGTCGAAACAAAACTGCGCGCAAACGTGCGCGCCTGCCGTTGCGCGGGGCGCTGCGGAGCGGTGCGTGGCCGCCCTCTGCGCGCCTTTGCACTGGCCCGGGTCGCAGAGATGAGGTCGTCCGCTCGCAACTATAGACAGCGGGCGTGGGACTAGAATGCCCGGCGGGTCTCGATGCGCTGCGCGTTGACGGAGAGGAAACAAAAAACCGATATGAACATGTAAGATAATATGGAACGTGTCCCAATAGATCGAGGCCGAGGTCGCCGGTGCAAGCGTCAACCGCGCGCCATGTCATCGCGCGCGGAGAATCTGCGTGACAGGCAACTCCGCGCGGCGCCCAGTGAAGACTGAATTCTCGCTCTGCGAAAATCACTGAAGATAATGAACGCGCCCTCCAGTTGCGGCCCCATGCGCGCGCGCCCACAAAGCGAGCAGGTCGCGCTCGGCTCTGCGTGGGCCTGGAGTTCTGTCGGAAAGGAGGAAGGGGGCTCTGCGGAGCTGACTCGGGCGCGGGGGTTGACCGCGATCCGACGCCAGATGAGCAGCGCGGGCCGACGCGGCGCGCCCATGGCGAGGGGGCGCCAAGCAGTTGAGCCGGTCGGCAGAGTCTCAACGGAGGCACTGCTTCAGCCAGACGGCGGCCTAGCCAGTGACAGCGCGCTGGACGAGTCAACGGCTGGATCTGCTGCAGGCCGCGCGCAGGGGGCAGATCGCGCCAGGTGGCGGATGCGCAGCTGAGAGGCGGCGTTCAATGAGCTAGCACTGCCCGCGTCGGCTGGCATGCGCCTCAGTTATTTGCGTTCGCTGAGGCGGTGATGCGGCCTCAGAGGTGAAGAGACAGGCGCGCGCTGGGTAACAGATCGTCGCGCGGGTTCTCACCGCGAGCTGCGTCCAGCGTGATAGAGCCGATTATGGCCTGAGCGCGGTCGGGAGGGGCCAGTATCGGCGCCGGCAGGCACTCGGAGAGGTGGTTGGAGCCGAGCGTGCCAATGCGCAGGTGCGCTATTTGCGCCAGCCTGCGCGCGCGAAGGCGCGCGACCAGGCGCAAGTGTCCCGGCGCGCGCAGGACAACGCGCGGCCGCGAACAGGCGTGGCGTGCCTCTGCCTCTGCCCACGTCGTGGTGCGCAGCTGAAGAAGCCGATGCCTGGCGTGCGCTGCCGATGCCCATGCCGAGACTCGAAGGCGCGCGCGGGCGCAGCGCTGCGCGCGCGCTGGAGCCGCCGGGCGCGCCCCATGCCCCAGCGTGCGTGGCGCAACGCATTGGGGACACCAAGGCGTGGCACTCCGACACTGCGCGGCTGCGTCGCCGGGCATGCGAGATGCCCCTGGCACGGCGAGCAGCGCGCGGGCGCGCGCAGGCGGCGCGCGCCGCGAGGCCGGCGCCGCCGCGCACTGACAACGCGCGCGCTCCCCACGGACGAGTCCCGAATGGTGGGGCAGCTGCCGCTGACGGGATAACCGCGCGCACTTCTCTGTCGGAATATGAGGCGGCAGAAGGCGCGCAGTCTTCCGCGCGGCCGCGTGCCTGGTCAGAGTGGCTCAGCGAAAAGCATAAACGTGCTCTGGCGGCCTTGGGCGCGATAGACGTGTCAAAAATCATAAATCTACGCGTTCCGTTCATCGTGTTTCAGGGCGCGCCAGGGCGCGCGGTGCGCGCCAGAGCGATGGGCAACAGGTCTTGCTGTCAAGTGAATGGCGCAATTTTGCCCTGATTGCCTGTCAATCGCACTCACGGCGGCGCGTCCGCGGTAATGCTGACGAGTGAGCGTGGCCAGGGGCGCCCGCAGTGTGCCACGTAGGCAGGGCCACCCCCCTGTTCCTTGGGCGAAGGCCTTTCGACGTGGCGCCGGGGCAGTGCGCGGCACGACGGCAATAGGTGCCAGCGGCATGCCCGAGCGCCTCATTCTGCAAAAGGGCTGGTGTAGACGGTCGCAAAGTTGCTGTCGGAGTCCGCTTCGAGGAAACACCAGGCGAATAACAAACAAAAGCACGGCAGCTCGCACTTGCCGAACTGGTTGATGGGGCGGAGAGATCATGTACCTGACGAGCAGTGGGCGTGGCGTAGCCGTCGTGCTGGTTGGTTGCAGCTGGGCGCGGTGTCTGCAGCACTCGCCGAATGCGTGTCTGGCCGACTGCGGCCCACAGTCGCGGCAACAGCACGCATCGGCGACATCAGGTTGGAGACGACGTGCTCCCATGGCGCCAGGCTGGCGTGACTCCTCCTCGAATAGTCTCGATGGCGATGTAGGCAGGGTGGTCACGATGGCGTGCCTCCTCCTCGGGCCTGCGAAGGGGCGGGCGCCACCTCGACGCTTGGAAAAGCCGTAGTGGCGCTAAGAAACTTAATCGGTGCTAGGTGTGGTCGAACAAGTACATGAACCAACTGTGTGTCATTCGAGGTGCACAGTGTTCCCAACAATATGTAGGCCAGCACGTCATGCGTCCCAAACGAACAGACTGCGTTCTGCGGCCAAAACTGGGCGGTTGTGAAGGTAACCTTGGCGTCGTGGTGCCCATGTGGGCCGGTGATCTGCGCATAGCCATCGGCAGCTCCAGCCCTTGTGACCTGAACCTCGCAAAGGCTCGCACAGTCTCGCGTTGGCCCCATCGTGCATGTAAGTACCCAAGGCGACTTCCGGCGGGGTTGCAGAACAGCCATGAGCGCATCAAGCAATCGAGGGTGCCGGTGTTCAAGAGTTGGGGAGATGTGCGAACGTACGTCCACATCGCACTCTGCGCAATCCGCGTAGTGGTGCTGGAGTTGGCTGACACTAGCTTCGTTACCAAGTGGGATTGCGGGTGTCAAGGGTGAAGGGTAGCAGACATGGCGGTAATGGTAAAGTGAGCTATAGCGAAGCGTAAGTTCTTTTCTAGGCCCAAATGGCTGCGGGCGCGCACGCGTACTCCTATTCGAATGCGAAGGAAGACCAATCATCTAAAAGACATGAAGAGGAGGAGAAGGAGGAGGATGAGGAGGGGGAGGAGGAGGAGGAGGAGGAGGAGGAGGAAAAGGAGGACGAGGAGGAGGAGGACAGCAAGGGGAGGATGCGTAGGAGGAGCATGAGCGCTGCCCAACAGAGTACAGGGAAATTGATGCCCCAGCAGGCCTTTTGACGCCCGCTCAGGATGGAGGAGCATCAGCAGCGACATAAGCAGGAACGAACAGCACGAGGCGCATAGGTAGGATCGACAGAGAGGGGACGAGGAGAAGGGGTGGGATGTGTAGGAGGAGGAAGAGGATGAGGAGGTGGAGAGGAGGAGGAGGAGGAGGAGGAAGAGGAGGAAGAAGAGGAGGAGGAGGAGGAGAAAGAGGAGAAGGAGGAGAAGGAGGGGTAGGGGCAGGGACTCTCTGATGAGGCACAGGTGCACAGGGTCGGGGGATACAAAAAGGGAGAAGTGGGGGCGGGGTTGATGGAGAGGACCAGGAGCGAGGATCGGCAGGATGAGCATAATGATGACATCCCTGTGTTTCTATCCTCCTCGCTGCGCCCCGCGCCCTCGAGCCAGGCGCCGCGATCCTCAGGTGCTTCTTGACCGTGAGCGGATAGTACGTGCCACCCTGCGGGGTGGGTGGGGGAGAGGGCACGGGGAGGACGGGTGATCCAGGCACGTTGCTTTTTGGGGTCGCTTAGCTCTTGATCCTCTTCCCCCTTCGCCCCAATAGTGTATATATAGATACAGGTATACACATACAGATGCAGACACGCACATATGTATACATTTGCATATAGACACAAACATACATACACATACATACATGTAAAACTATTACTCCTTCCTGTCGCACCCCCAGACGTGTCCCCCACAGCTTATGGTCCTGAAGCTTGAGCTTTGCATCAATTGCACCTCAATGTGGGGGATTGTGTCGGAAATGATGCTCTCGGACGAGCGCCGCGCTCCTTGAACTTACACGCTTGCATCGCTTGCATAAGTTATAAGGATGGGGCACTGGTTGGTTTCAGAATGAGCCTCTCGCATCAGAGCCAGGTGCGTTCGTCTGGTGAGCGCGTAACGCCTGCGCACATTGCACACAAGTAGCTTTCAGAATCTGGATCGCGCCGTAGCGCCGCGCACGTGCGTCTTAAACACTCCCAGCCGTGACGTGGAGGGAGCACACAGGTGGTCTTCAAAATGGGGATCTCGCACAAGCGTCGCGTACACTCGTCTTAATCATCTGCATCATCTTTAAGGGTATATGGGTTTGTTTTCAACATGGAGCTCTAGCCGCAGCGTCTCCGCCTTTAGAGCTCGCGTTTGTTACAGGCATTGCGTACAAGTGGTTTTCGAAATCGCGCTCTCGCCTCAGCGCCGCGCTCGTCCGTCGTAAGAGCTTGCAGCAGTTAGCAAGGGTGGAGGGTGGTTCCTGTCTCAAGTGGGGCTCTCGCCTCAGCGCCGCGCACTCTCGTCTTGACACCTGCAGCAATCGCAATACTGTACGGCGGTTCTGTTTCAAAGTTACGCCAGAGAAAGACTCAATCAGCGGACGTAAAATTAGTAATGTGAATCTTGAGATCGATTGTGAGATCGATAATATGAAATCGATCGTGAGGACGATCATAAGGTCGCTCGTGAGACCGATTGTGAAATCGATTCAATGAGATCGATACTGAGATTGATCGTGAGATCGCTTGTGCGATCTATCGTGAGATCGATTGTGAGATAGAGAAATGGATAATGAGATCGATGGTAAGACCGATCGATAAAGAGATCGACCAGGAACCCGGGAACCCGGAAACCTGGGAACCTCGCCGCCCACCGAAATCGGCCCGGAACCAACAACTGGGAACCCGGGAACCGGGAACCCGGGAAGACAGGAACCCGGGCGCCCACCGAAATCGGCCATGCACTCTCGCCAAATATTTTCAATATCCGCTAGGACCCCTTCAGTGCAAGCACAGATTGTTGGCGGCGAGCGAATGGGGGTAAGTGAGAAGGAGAAGGCCTTCTCAGAAGGCGGCGGGACTTCTCAGAAGCCCTCGCGCCTTCTGAGAAGTTATTTCCGTCGTCGGGGAAGGCTTAGAGAACGTCTCAGAAGGCCGGATGACTTCCGAGCCTTCTGAGAAGGCCCGCCCCTTCTCACTTCCCCCCCTCGCTCGCCGCCGAGATTGGGGAATGAGGCTCTCGCTTCAGCGCCGCGGGCGTTCGCGATGACAGGCTGAAGCAGTTCGCCGGGTGGAGAACGGCGCCTTCTCAAAGCGGTGATCTCGCCTGAGCGTCGAGCAGATCTGTCTTAAACATTTGCGTCCACTGGCCATCGCTCGGACGTCCATTCCCTGTGCGTGTTTCGGTTACGTGCGTGGCTTGTTCGCAGGATGATCCAGGATGTTCCTTAACAGTCCCCGCCAAGGAAAAAGCGCACACGTCCGAGCGATACCAAGTCCACTACATGGATGGAGGGCAACTCTTTTCCAACATGTGGCCCTCGCTTGAGGCTCCAGTGGACTTGGCGGCCAGAGTTCTGCATCTTTGCAACGCGTGCGCGGATGGAGGACGGCCTCGTTCCTCAATGTGGGGGCCTGGCGTTCGATTTGAAGCGGTTTTACGACCCAGACATGTCAACTCGTGCAGTCGCTGCGCGGAAGGGTGGCGGTTCCCTTTCAAAACGTGGCCCCCGCTGAGCACACCGTTAAACGCCATCATCTTGCTCGAAGTCGAATCAACTCGCTAGACTCATGCAGGGCAATTCGTTTTCGAACTGTCGGTGGTGGACAAACCTCCCTTTAGTAAACCTCCCCTTAGTGAAAACGGCCTGGGACCGAAACCGACGGACCGCAAAAATGACGGCCACGACACCCTCTCGCGAACCGAAAACGGCCAATTCCTTAATCGGCGTGTCAGGGTAGGAGGTCTGTCCACCTCCGAAACTGGGGCTCCCGCCCGACTGGCATGCCACGGGCGCGCTTCTCTTGCAGTGACACGGAGGGCGTGCGGCTTGGGCAGGGAGGGCGTATTGCAGAATCATTGATGCCTCCTGGGCCTACTCTGGTATGATTATTCTTCTGTTTCATCCTCCTCCTCCTCCTTCCTCCCTCCTCCTGCTTCTCCTCCTCTTCCTGCTCCTCTCTCTTCCTCCTCCTCCTCCTCCTCCTCCTCCTCCTATTCCTCCTCCTCCTCCTCCTCCTATTCCTGCTCCTGCCTCCTTCCTGCTCCTCTTCCTGCTCCTTCCTCCTCTTCCTCCTCTGCCTCTTCCTGCTCCTCCTCCTCTTCCTCCTCATCCTTCTTCCCTCCTCCTCCCTCCTCCTGCATCTCCATTTCTTCCTCATCGTCCTCCTCCTGCTCGACAATATGTGCCACTCCGAAAGGGCGGATGGTGCGTGCCGCCCTGGCCAGGGGAGGTGGGGGAGGAGGACAGAGAAGTGGAGGGGGGAGTGGATGTGCGAGAGGGGGGAGGCGGCAAGCTAGGTGCGCTCGGGCCTCATCTGACATCCCATCCCTTCCAATGGCGCTGGTATTCTCTATCCGCGGGCGCGTGTTATGACCGACCTGCGACTAACGCATAAGCACCACATCGTGTCAGGCGCAATTGGCGGACCAGGGGACGGCGGAGGAGGGGACATGAGGGGGGCCACAGCGATGAAGAGAGACTCGGATTCGGAGCAGCGGCCCGCGCTGGGGCGAGACGAGCAGCAGCAAAAAACTGCTGGAGTGGAAGGAGCGACAAGAACAGGCGGATCAGGGAACGGCGGAGGAGGGGATATGCGGGGGGCGACAACGATGAATAGAGACTCGGATTCAGAGAAGCGGCCCGCGCTGGGGCGAGAAGAACAGCAGCAGAAACCGCTGGAGTGGAAGGAGCGGGAGGAGCAGGCGGACCAGGGGAAGGCGGAGGAGGGGAAACAATGGGGCCCCCCATCGCTTCCCCTCCTCCGCCTTCCCCTCCTCCTCCTCTTCCTCCGGGACGAACCCCTGCGCGCCGCTTCAACGCCGAGGCGCTGATCTGACGGTAAGCCGCAAGGCCATACCTGGCGCCCCTGGTGGGGGAACCAAAGGGTACCGATGCCGCTACTCCCCGGGCCTCTCCCGGGGTGCGTTCTGACCAGAATCTCGAGGCGAATCTAACGGTGGCGACGAGGGCCTCCGAGGAGGCCCGAAAAGGGGGAAAACGGGCGGAGGGCAGAGATATGGGTACCTTTTCCTCCTCTGATCTGGGGGCACCTCGGCCCAGGGACACCTCTAGCAACACCCGAGGGGGGGGGACCTCTAGCAACACCCGAGGGGGGTAGGCCACACGGAAGCAAGAGGCTCGGAGCCGGAGACGGGGCCCGCGCTTGGGGCGGCAGCGCCGCTCGGAGCGACGGGGGGGCGACGCGCCGAGCCGAAGAGGAGTCCCACACTACAGCGGGGACACCATGTCGAAACACACTTTTTAGTCAGCGGCCGCGGGCGAGCGCGCCGGCGGCTCGTCAGGTCAAAGCGGGCTACGCAGAGACGAATCAGGCAAAGGAAACGCGGGAAAAACAAACAGAGCGACGAGCGAGGCGACAACTAAGCGCGGCCGAGGCCTCAGATGGGGGGCTGCCGGGACTGAGTCTGAGGGGAGCTGCCAGCGCATGGCGAAACACACTCGGATGGTACAAGAACCCTAAGGCTCATCCTGGCGAAGAGGCCCAACCATGTGCGGCTGTGAGTGCCGCGGTGGTGCGTATCCTCGTCGGTGGAGCTCACCATGGGGCCCGAGACGTGGGAGGGGTGTGCCGAAACGGGTGCGGTGGTGCCATGAACGAAATGTTGGAACTCTGGTGTTAAAAACAACAAAACGCGGAGGAGGCGGGAGATCTTCAAGACAACTTCAGGGGGAGGAGGGAGAGTAATGTTCATGTTATTCGATTGTGTAGTGGACAGGGGGAAGTGGACAGGGATAGAGACAAATGGGGGAAGTGGACAAGGAGAAGGGGATGGGAAAGTGGATAAGGGGGGTGGAGAGATTAAGAAGTGAGGAGGCAGGGGAGCGGGAGGGCATGGGAAGAGGTTGGGGTAATGTCCGCGAGGCAGGGCGTTGGAAAGGGGGCTGGGGAGGGGAGGGAACGAGAAGCAGGAGGAGGCTGGGAGCGGAGCAAGGACGAGTTGGGCAGCGGCGGCGAGCGCGCAGCGCTGACGGCCGGGACTGCCAAGACACGTGCAGGCGAGGACACACGGTCTGCCCGTGGCGGGTGCCGCCTTCACCGTCGCGTCGTTGGCCACGAAGAGGACCTTCGCCCCTCCTGCCCTCGCCCCTCCTCCCTCTCCCCCTCCTCCCCTCCACCCTCCCCCTCCCCCTCCATCCCCCTCCCCCTCCTCCTCCTCTCCTCCTCCTCTTCTCCTCCTCCTCCTCCTCTCTTCCACCTCCTCCTCCTCCTCCGCCCCCTCCCCCTCCTCCTCCTCCTCCTCCTCCTCCTCCTCCTCCTACCCACCTCCTCCTCCGCCCCTCCTCCTCTCCTCCTCCTCCCCTCCTCCCCTCCTCCTTCTTCCTCCTCCTCCTCCTCCTCCTCCTCCTCCTCCTCCTCCTCCCCCTCCTCCCTCCTCCTCCTTCGCCTCCTCCTCCTCCACCTCCTCCTCCTACCCACCTCCTACTCCTCTCCTCCTCCTCCCCTCTCCTCCTCCTCCTCCTCCTCCCTCCTCCTCCTCCTCCTTCTGCTCTCCTCCTCCTCCTCCTCCTCCTCCTCCTCCTCCTCCTCCTTCCGCTCCTCTTCTTGCAGTCGAAACGTGCATTCAGGACGGGTGGTGAGGGTGCAAGACCCTTGGCGGCCGAAGCGGGGATCCTTTGTGGCGACGGGCGACCAGCGAAAGCGGCAAAGGACGGGTCCGCAGAGGCAAGGACACCAGGGTACCCGAGATGAAGGCGCGCGTCCTTCCTGGGCGCGTTGACTGCTCTGCTCGCCTTCTCTTCCGGCGTCCCCCTCTGCCCTCTACTCCTCGCGCAGCGCCCCCTGCGCTCGTCCCTCCTGGCCCTGCGGCCCCCCGGCTCTGCCCCTCCGAGCTGCCCCGCTCCCCTCCGACGGCGGAGGCGGCGGAGGAGGCGAGGGAGGGAAGACAGTCGGGGCCTTGACCTAAGGAACCCTGAATGAATAAGGAACGAGGCCCCCTTTGTCCCAGAAGTTCAACTTCGATTCCCAAATGGAAAACCTGAGGACAACCCGAGGCAAACTGTAAAACAATCAAGGAGCACCGAGCCCCTCCCCAACGAAGGAGGAGGCAAGCGGGAGGAGGAGGAGGCGGAGGAGGAGGAGGAAGAGGAGGAGGCGGAGGAAGAGGAGGGAGGGAGGGAGGGAGGAGGGAGGGAGGGAGGGAGGGAGGGAGGGAGGGAGGGAGGAGGAGGAGGAGGAGGAGGAGGAGGGGAGGAGGGGAGGGGAGGGGGGAGGGAGGGCGGGTGGACGGGGAGGGCCCCGACCGTGCGAGGAGGAGCGGGTGGACGGGCACGCCTCCTTTCGGCGTGCTCTCCGCCGTAATTGTGCTGACCCTCCCTGCCCCCTCGGCCTCCTGCTTCCCCCTCTTCCCCCCCCCTCCTGCTCCTCCTGCTCCTCCTCGTGATTTTCCTCTTTCTTCTCCTCCCCCTTTTCCTCGTCCTCCTCCTTCCTCCTCCTCCTCCTCCTCCTCCTCCTCCTCTTCCTCCTCCTCCTCCTCCCCCTCCTCTTCTTTTTTCTTCTTCCTCCTCCTCCTCCTCCTCCTCCTCCCCCCATTCCTCTCGTGGAGGGGCGTGGAAGGACGTGCGCGTGAGAACAACCCTTCTCAATATCGCGCGCGCAATCGGCGTTCGGCCTATTTTACAGCTCAGGCGCTCTGCCACCAGATCGAGTCGGAGGAGGCCAGGGAAAGGGACGAGGAGGTGCTCAGATGATGTGGGCGAGGATAAAGAGGAAGAGCACGACGACGGCGAGGAGCAAGAGAAGGATGAGAAGGAGGACGGACAGTGGAAAGGGAGGAGGAGGAGGAGGAGGAGGAGGAGGAGGAGGCCGAGGAGGAAGACGAGGAGGAGGCCCCCAGAGTGTGAGACCTGTATATGGGACTCCTAGAACATAGAAACCCCTCGAAGGGCGAATTTCAATTCGGCCTCTCAACCCCCACGAGAAGGCGAGTCCAGAGATTTTTCCCCCCTGGCTTGTCCTTTTCCTTTTCCTCCTCCTCCTCCTCCTCCTCCTCCTCATCCTATGAAGTGTCCTGCGAATTGTATCCAGGACTGAACCTGCGTCTCCTCGGGAGCGGCTGATGCCGCTCTCAATGCATATTCGAACGAATGCTCGCGGCTTCGAAGGCTCATCCTCGCCTCCCGGGCGCCTGCTCTTGTGAAGGGCCCTGGGACACACCAATAAATACACACGAATAACAGGAATACACATATGTTCCAATATTTTCTGGGTGTTTGTTCCCCCCCACTTCACATATTGTCCCATATTTTTTGGGGAATCGCCGATTGATTGTGTCTGTGTTTTTTTTCCCTCCTGATCTTGTCCCTCCCGACGCTGTCGCCGTGCACGAGACGTCGTACCATGCCGCTGAAAACGCAATCTTTGCCGAGCGCGAGCCAGTCGAGCTAGCGGCAGGGTGCTGCCTCAGGTGCTGGCTCGTCTTCGTGCTGGCGACGGGTCGGGGGGAGAGCATGCCTAGGGCCCAGGGCTGCGGAGCTGTGCCTGGGCATGGGTCGGGGTAAACCCCGCTTTGCCCCACGCCGGAGTCTCGCCCCGAAGTGAACCTCCTGCTGGTTGGTGCCGGGCCAGTGATGGGAACAAATTGCGAGCTTTCCTGCACCGTGGAATGTGTGCACGAAGTGATTTCGCATCCTCACGGATGGTGGTCATGTTGTGCGCAGGTGGAGTAGGATGCAATGCGGAAACCAGCCTCAATCCGAACCCGGCATAGATCACTCCGTTTCGCTCCGCCTCCGCTCTCGTGCAGGTCAGATCGCCAAGCTTAGAGACGGGAGCCACGTTGACGAGGATAGATTCCGAACCTCAGGGCCCCCAGGGATCCCTCGGCTGGCCACACAAGAGGCACACACGCAATTGCGGAATGCCAAAGCCCTCGCTGTCAGATCGAACCAGAGACCGCGAGCGGCGCCCTAAGTGCCGACGCTGTTTCCGTTCCGAGCAGTTCAGGCCACGCCGCGCAGCCACCCGCATTGCCACTAGCCACGCTGTCAGGGGGGCGAAGAGAGCGCGCTCGGCCGCTCCAAGGAGTTCGGGAAGCGAGCCTGACCCGCCTCGAGGCGGCAGCGGGGGCCTCCCCCCACCGCGCTGACCTCCAGATCCCCGTATCTCTGATCCGCTGCAGAGCGAGCCGTTGGAAGCCAACGCAGGGGGGGCATCACTGAATGGCTCTGAACACCGTGCTCTCCGACCGATCCTTGTGCTGCCCCCTCCTCCCACCGCCCCGCTCCCGTGGGTATTGGAGACAGGGCCCTCCGTCCGTCCGCTGACGCTCGATTCGGCAGCAGCACGAACCAGCAGTTCTCTTGCTGGATGAATTTCTGAACCCCGGCGTCGAAGTCACCTTGGTGTACGAACTCTCTCCGAACATGTGTCGGCAACTGCTCTTTGAGTTGAACTTCCATTTTTGTTGTCTTTTTTCTCCGGCGATTCTGTTTTTGCCATCCGTCGGCACTGTTCGGGGGACTCTGGTTTCCTGCTAATCTGCGAGGCTCTTCAAGTTCAACACTGTAACATATTTGAACCGAAACTGGTAACCGTGAACGGGCGGCCCCTGCCACCGAACCGCCCAAACTGGAGCCAAAACCGGACCGACAGAAACCGAACTGGCTGATTCGAAGCGAACCGGCCGATCGAAGCTGGCCCGACCGGTCAACCCGAACCGGTAGAACCGAACTGGCCTGCCAAAGAAGCCCCCAGGACGGCCCAAGCGGGCCCCCACAGAGCTCCGAGACGCCCCCGACGGATGCTACAGAGGGGTGCGTCGTAGCATCCGTTGGGGCCCTGTTAGGATCCCAACGAAACGGCCCAAAGGAGCTCCGCCGGGGCGCCCCCAGAGGGCCCCAAGAGGGCCCCGCCCCCCAGAAAGCTCGGAGGCGGCTTCCCGACGGAAGGCCTCGGCGAGCCGTTTTCGGGCCTCTGGATCTGGGGCCCAGATCTCAGCTCCAGACCTGCCCGACGTCTGGACCTGAGGTCTGGACCTGAAGTCTGGGCCCGAACCAAACCGCCCGAAACGGAATCGTACCGAGGCAAAACCGAATCGACTCAAACCGAACTGGACCCGAACCCGAACCGCTACAACTGAACCGGCCCTTTGCCGAACCGACCCGAACCGGCCCAATGCTGATGTCGCATCCTGGAGCTGGGGTGGCCCTAGGGAACCGTTCGGCGCTGTTGAACTCTTTCGTCCGCTCTGCGGCTGTTCAGCTTCTTTCGCGCCCCTCTTAGGGCAGTTGGCTGCAAGGCGCCCCTTGCCCCCGCAGGCGTAGAATTCGACCTCGGAGACCAGAACGTAACCCCCTTCTTCCCGAGCCTCCTTGTCCTCAATATCCTCCTTGGCCTCCCTTGCCTTCTTAGACCTTGGGGTGCTGGCCGCGCGTGGTGCGGTTGCCTCTTTTGGAACTGCTTGTGCCTTTACCTCTGCCCTTGCATTTTACTCGACAGCTGACTGCGATGTGCCCGATCCCCCGAGCGTGTAACATGTGGGGGTTTCTCCTTTGTTGTTTTTTCCTTGTAAGCGGCATGTACTCCTGCATCTTCCTCCCGTGGTTTTCCTGGTCCCAGTGGTGCCGCTGTTCTACTGGCCAGCAATGGCTGCTGTCGTCGACGTGACCTGCATCATTCCACTTGCGTTCACCTTCCTATTCGTCGTCGTTAGCGTTGTCAACGCCTCCGGTCTCCATGGCCGTTGCCCTGCGCGTCCGCGTCTGATCTGTTTTTTTTTCGGGCCCAACCCTCACATTTCACATGCTGCTTCTGGGAGCTCTCCTGTGTTAATTAGGCAGGAGTTTTGAAATAGTTCTGGTGCCAATCCTCGAAGGAATCGCCAACGCGTGACGTGCTGGCTCGTGCCGCAGTAATGCAAGACGACATATTCAACAAGAGCGCTGGCCTGTACTTCTCCAACGTTTCAACTAATGCCGTCCACTGCGGCACATGTGATTTCACATATCCGATCTTTCTGGGTTTGTCCGGGTTCATGGCCACACTCGCCTTGGCTGTCAATTTAAGCCGATAACTGCCGAATGCCGCCTGTATATTTTTTGATCTCCCTGCAGTCCGTCTCCTCCACGTAGCCCCTTCAACTTTCTTTGCGGCTCTACTCCGTCCAGCTTGTCATTGAGGGTGTACCACGGGTCCCCATCATACTTGCTCATTTAGTCGCTCTCAAACTCACATCTACTTTGTCGTCGTCGTCTTGTTGCTTAATTGCTGACGCTTCTGTGCATCCGGCTGCCATTAAACGACCGCTGCGAATCCTCGCCATATCGTCTTCATCCTCGTCTAACACACCGTCTATCGTTTCCAGCTTGTTGTTCAGGTTCCTGGGCGCCTTCTGGTACCTCGGGTTGATTTGTCCAAGGGCGTTCAAGTGCTTCTCGCTCCATTCCCTGAACCTGCCTCGTGGCCAACGAATGTCTAGCTGCTGCGTGACCTTGTATTCGCTACCCAGATCTAGCTGCTTGCATGACCTTGTGTTTGCTCTCAGTTAAGGGTTCCGCTATCTAGCTAACGCTGTCAAGTGTGCTTTTCTAGACGTCCACTTGGTCTTCTAGATGTTCAAATCTGTCCATAAGTCTTTTCGACTCGCTCCCGGCGTACATGTTCCTCTTCACCACACTTGGTAACAGCGAGATCATTTTCTGGGCCATGAGCAATGAGCCATAGTTCTCTTCGCTGGACACCGTTATCATCCCATTTGCAATTCGCTGTCCGATGAACTCTTGGTTGGCCCGTAACACGACACTCACGTAACTATAGTCACCATTGCAGGCGGCTGGCTTAAGGTTGAATCGCCTGTTTCGGTCTTGTGGCGTGTTCAAGTCACGCCCTGGATTTCCTGGTCCTACAGCAGCCGCGGCAACGGCAGCGCCCGCCATTGCTTGCGAGTGAACCTCGCTCCGCTTCGATGCACATCCTCGGGAAGGATAGACACGGGAACGATACCGATAATTTCTCTGACCGCTACGCTCAACGCGGACGTTCAGAATCAATCACTTGAGCCAACCAGCGTCGATTGCGAGGCACGCTCGGTAACAATAGTACTACCATTCTCCTGACCCTGTCACCCTCGTTATAATCAACACCTCCTCCTGCTCTTTTTCCTCCTTCTCCTCCTCCACAATAGCACAATATGAATACTACTCTCCTCTCCCACCTGATGACGTCCAGAAGATATCCAGCCCTCCTCCGCGTGCTATTTTTTACACACAGGATTGCCAGGAGCTGGGTTTGCGATGAGTCTTTTTCAACATGTTGCTCCGGCTGAGGCGCTGGCCTCATTTTCGGGCTTCCGCTCGTTCCGAATCGTCTTCCCGCTGCAGCGCTGGCCTCATTTCAGCGCTTCCGTTCGTTCCGAATGGTGCTCCCGCTGCACCGCTGGCCTAATTTCTGCGCTTCCGCTCGTTCCGAATCGTGCTCCCGCTGCAGCGCTGGCGTCAATGTTTCCAGTGCCATGCCACGGCATGCGATGCAATGCCATGTGGTGTTCCGCTGTGCGATGCCATGTCTTCAGCTGCAATGCTAGGATATGCAGTGGTTGACTACGCAGTGCCACGCTATGCGGTGCCATGCTAGGCTTTGATCTTCAACGCCATGCTATGCCATGGTCTGTTCTGTGCCGCTGTGCGATGCCATTCTTGGCGTTGCAATGATTTGGAATGCAATTCATCACGACGCAACGCCACGCCATGCTACGACATACTACGCTCTGCCGTGCACTTTTACACCCTGCTACGCCGTGCTCTACGATGCATCGCGCACCCTCTCGGGACCATTGCCCTGCTCGACATCTGACTGTGCGAATAGAAAGGAGATCTACACCATGGTAATGGATGGGAGGGAGGGGCAGGACGTCAGATATGACGCGAGCGCATCTAGCTTGTCCCGCCCTCTCCCCCTCCCCCTCCTCCTCCTCCTCCTCCTCCTCGCCCTCCTCTCCTCGCCCTCTTCCTCCTCCTGAACGACATGCGGAACATGTACCAACACCTGTGCAAGTCTATCATCCCTTGCCTCCCTCCTTCCGTGCTGGCCCACCTCCTGGCCGTGCACGAGACCGATGCCGGTGACGATCCCAGCAGAATGGGCACCTGCGGAAGGGGGGGAGCAGGGGAGACGAAGGGGATGTCGCGCTCCCAGCGGAATGAGCACCAGCGGAAGGGAGACGACGCGGGCGGCGAGGCAGGAGGAGGGGCACGGGTGGGAGGGGGGGGGGACGAGGACGAGGAAGGGGAGGGGAGGGGGAGGCGAGCAATCGGGGACAGGGAGCAAGATGACGAGGAAGAGGAGCGGAGCGAAGCATGGAAGAGACGCAGAGGAGGTGGAAACGCGCGGAAAACAGAGAGGACGGGGGAGGACGAGGAATAGAGCACGAATGAGGCGCAGAGGGGACCGGACGCCAGCCCTGGTTGGGTGGGTTGTCGAAGGGCAGCGGTAAGCCCCGACCAACAGCTCCCCAGGCAGTGCCCGCACCAAAAGTCCACGGAATGGCGTCACCGTTTGGGGCCCGCGCCCTGGGCCGATCCTCCTCCTCCTCCTCCTCCTCCTCCTCCTCCTCCTCCTCCTCACCCCCCTCCTTCTTCTTCTTCTCCTCCTCCTCCTCCTCCTCCTCCCTCCTCTCATCCTCCTTCCTCCTCCTCCCTCCTCCTCCTCCTCCTCCTCCTCCTCCTCCTCCTCCCCCTCTTCCTCGTGTCTCCTCCTCGTGCCTCCTCGTGCCTCCTCCTCGTGCCTCCCCCTCTTCCTCGTGCCTCCTCGTGCCTCCTCCTCGTGCCTCCTCGTGATCAGGATGCCATGGAGCCCAGAAGACGCGTACGCAATCATGCGCTCTGGTCATCCAAAGGGTCCCTTCTTGGTGCGCGCCAAGTAGGGGTGAGGAGGGGGAGGAGGAGGAGGAGGAGGAGGAGGAGGAGGAGGAGGAGGAGGAGGAGGAGGAGGAGGAGGAGGAGGAGGAGGAGGGGGAGGGGGAGGAGGAGGAGGAGGGGGGTCAGGGACATCCGCGCGACTCGGAGGCGCGTGCGAGACACCCGAGCCAAGCCTTGGACGACGCGAAGCCAGCGGAGGTGGTTCTCCTGCGGCAGGAGGCTGCGCCAACATCAAGGTCGTCTGAGGTCATCGCGGCGCCCCTCGGCTCGCTGGCCAGGACTCTTATCATGAACTGGGGGAGGAAGGGTGACATGGCGTGGGTTACCAAGGGGGGACTTTCCACACGCTGGCAACCGTGCCAGACAACCTATACCGCCACAGCAAGCTATGTCCTAGCAGCATGAATGGATTATGAACTAGAAGGGGCATGTGGGCTGGAGGCCCTCTCACACAGAAGGTAGGATTAGGTCGGGCCTGTCCCCCTACAGGGGGATTTTGGACGAAGAATTAAACATACTCAAAAATACCCCCCAAATGCTCAAACATAGTCCGAGAATAGTCCCCAGACTCTTTTTTGACTACTTTCGACTTTTCCTCCTGTAGAGGGACGGACACGGGACAGGCCCGACTTAAATGTAGGCTGGAGGCCCGCCCACACCGAAGGTAGGAGTCTGAAGTAGTGTGAGTTGGGACAAGGGGGTCGTCCCAATGGGCGAGCCTGAATGATCTCCGAGCTGGGGTCGAAGAGGGGGTCAACACCATCGTGGCTATGGGGCTCAACATCCGGCATATAAGCTGGGCCAGCATGCTGTACGCTTCAGGGGTGCTCCAGACAGCACGCTGGTCGGTCCCATTCGTTCAGCGAGGATCACTCGCAACCTGTATTATTCTATTGTATTCGACACCCGCCCGCGGCGGGCGCAGCGTTCCGACGCGGCAGCTTCGGAGGCGGCTGTCCTACTCCTCCTCCTCCTCCTCCTCCTCCTCCTCCTCCGCCCCCTCCTCCTCCTCCTCCTCCTCCTCCTCCTTTCATTTTTCCTTTCTTCCTTTCGACCGCATGTCGCCACCAGTTCGCGCTGGCGCGGGTTTCTCCCAGCAGAATGTGAGAAACTCGTTTTTTTTTTTTTTTTTTTTTTGTTTCTTTTTTTTTTTCTCTCCAAACGTATAATATAATCCTGGCCCGTCGGTCTGCCAGCGACTCAGCGAGTCCCGAAGCCTGCCACGGCAGGGCTGACGGGGTTGTCGCTGGACGCCCGTCGGAGCGCGCTCTCTTGCCAGGTCCCCCCCAGGGTCGAAGGACGGCGTCGGACCGACGAGAGGGGATGAAGGGGAGGGGGGGGAGGGCGGGGAGGGCGGGGGGGGGGAGGAGAGGGGGGAGGGTGGAAGGGCAAGGGAGGGAGGGGGGGAAGGGCGGGAAGGGGGGGCAAGTACGGCGGCGACGATGACCCCGACACCGACGGCACCGACGGCACCGACGGCACCGACGACGACGACGACGACGACGACGACGACGACGACAACGACAGCGACGACCGACGACGACGCCGACGAGACGACGGCACGGCGGAGACGGCGCCGACGGTCGGCATCACCCAGGCCACCGCCGAGGGCCAGGCAGTCGTTATGGGGAGCCCCTGGCGGTGGCCCGGCGGTCAGAAAGTTGCCTGAAACAATGTCAGGCATCTTGCTGGTACCGTGCCCCATCCGAGGGGGCGGTCGCGGGAAGCTTCCGAGCCACCGCCAAGCGGAGGGGGAGGTCTCCCGTCCTCCTCCTCCTCCTCCTCCTCCTCCTCCTCCTCCTCCTCCTCCTCTTCCTCTTCCTCCTCCTCCTCATCCTCCTCCTCCTCCTCCTCCTTCTCCTCCTCATCCCCCCCCTCCCTGTTTTGTGCATTCCCCCCTGCCTCTCTGCCGCCCTCTCTTCTCTTCCTCCTCCTCCCCTCCTCTCCTCCTCCTCCTCCTCCTCATCCCCCCCCCTCCCCTGTTTTGTGCATTCCCCCCTGCCTCTCTGCCGCCCCCTGCCCTCTCCTCCCCCCGCCCGCTCATCCCCTTTCTTTACAACCGCGCCCTTCGATGACAAATCCCGTCTGCCCCATGGTGCTGTCGTGATGTTGTCCCGCCTCTCCCGCGCATGTCGCCCCTACGCACCATAACTCTTGCTATTCTCATGATTCGTGTCTGATATTGCTTACGATCGCGAATGATGTGCGTGGTCGTACCCATCCATGTTTGACATGCCCAATGCTTTTTGTTCGATTGCGAGGTTCTCAGGCTCGGTCTTTCAAAAGTGGTGTTCCCTCTGCACGCTTCGCCCCACTCGTGCAGAGTGGCCCTCTCGCCCGAACGGGGTCACATTTCTGGATGCGTTTTTGTTGCCATCCGCCTCCGTCGACCGCCTCCGCCTTCCATGCGCGCCCTCCTGCGCATCCTGCTCCCGGTCCAGCCCCGTCTTGCTCTCCTGCCCCCTCTCCTTCCTCGCACTAGTTACTCTTCCTCTTGCTCATCCTCCTGTTAGTCCGCCTCCTCCTCCTCCAAGTTCGCCTCTCCTGTGCTCGCCTTTCTTCTCCTTTCTTCTGATGCAGACTGGGCATCGCACGATCAGGTCACTTTGAGGACCGCAGTCCTCTAGGACCCCTCACTCTGCGGATGGGACATGATCCAACCTGATGGGAAACACCTGGTGACGGGGTAAAATGTCAGGCGTGGCGTCAGCGCGCTTGGCTCCCCGCTCCCGCCCTCCCTCCCCCGCTCCCCTGCTCCCCGGCCCTGCTCCCCTTGCTCCCCGGCCCGCGCCCTCTTCTCCCCCCACTTCTTTTTTTCCTCCTCCGCCCCGCAGGAGGCCCGCCTGGGCCGCCCGCCCGGCTGGGCCGCGCGGCACGGGCGCTCACCACCGCGGGCCTACAGTGATGCTCCCCGGAAAACGACCCCCCCCCCCGCGGCCGGGAACCTTCCGGCGGGCCCTCAGCAACGCGAGGCAGAGAGACCCCCCCCCTCCCCCTCCTTCTCGATCTCGCCTTTGTTGCTGGCACACTAGGCACCTGCGCTCCTCCTCCTCCTCCTCCTCCTCTCCTCCTCCTCCCTCCTCCTCTCCTCCTCCCTCCTCTTCTCCTCCTCGTTCCCCCCTCCTCCTCTCCTCGTCATCCTCGCTCCCTCATCCTCTCCTCCTCCTCTCCTCCACCTCTCCTTCCCTCCTCCTCTCCTCCTCCTCTCCCTCCTCCTCCTCCTCCCTCCTCCCCTCCCCCTCCCCCTCCCCCTCCCCCCTCTCCATCCTCTGGGCGCTCTGGGCGGCCGCGCGCCGCCGCGGGCCGCGCGCCCTCCCCGCCGCTTCGCACACCGGGGGACCGTGCGCGCGGGCCGCCCGTCCTGCGGGTGGCCTGGCATCCCGGCGCCCCTGGGGCGGCTGGCGGCGCACAGAGGGGGGTGAGGGGAGGGGGGGGGGGGGGCTTCTGAGAATAGGGGAACAAAAAAGTGGCATAGACATAATAACTCGTAGGTCCGCACGGATTTCTCGGATCGGCGCTGGGGCCCCCGGCGGCGCCTCTGGCGCCGCCCCTGGCGCGCTCCGCGCGCCAGGGAGGGGGGTCCAGCGCCGATCCGAGAAATCCGCGCGACCTCCGAGTTTTTATGTGTATGCCACTTTTTGTTCCCCTAGAGAAGGAGGCTGCTCCTTAAAGGCGCCAGCCGTGTACCGACAGACAGGGCCCGCGCCTTCGAAGAAGCGGGGGCGCTTCTGAGAAGTCTCCCCCCCTCCCCCTGCCCCCCCCCCCTTCTGCGCGTGGCCGGGGAGGGCTGCCGCCCACGACCGCCTCCGGCATCGTTGGGGCGGCTTGCGTGACCAGGCCGGCGGCCCGCCGAGACGACGCCGCCGGCCGCGGACGGCCCCGCTGCAGCGGCGGCCCGTCGCGCTCCACATCAGCGCGGCCGGCTCCCGCGTCTCTCGCGCTGCGCCCGCCGCTTCCGCGGTGTGCGCCCCGCCGACGAGCCTTTCGCCCAGCGCGGCCGGCGCATCTGGCGCACTTCTGGCGGCTGCAGCCCTGCGCCTCGAAGTGCTCCCCCATCCGTCTCCTCCTCGTGGTGGCCCTCCTCCTCCCCTTCCCTCTCTCCGTCGTCGTCGTTGTCCTCCTCTTCCTTCCCGTCGTTCGTTTTCCTTCCCTTCCTTCTCTTCCTGCTCCCCCTGCTCCTCCTGCTCCTCCTCCTCCTTTGCCTCCCTTCCTCCTGCTGCTCCTCCCTCCCATATCTTCCTGCTCCTCCTGCTCCTCCTGCTCTTCCTCCTTTGCCTCTCTTCCTCCTGCTGATCCTCCTCCTCCTCCTCCTCCTCCTCCTCCTCCTCCTCTTCCTCCTCTTCCTCCTCCTCCGCCTCCTCGGGGGGGTGAGGTGTGTGCCTGCCTCCCGTTCTGCTCTGGATCCTGCTGCCCCTCGGCTCCCGCTCGCTCGCTCCTCCGCCTTTCTCCCCCTCCGAGTCCTCATCCGCGCCGCTGCGCCGTGCCTCCGTCGTACATGCCGTAGGCGGCGAGCGCGGACAGCTCCAGGAACGCCGTGCCCGGGTCGACGATGGCGGCGATGCGCTCGCGGGGCAGCGCCTTGCCTGTGGGCCGGGCCACTCCGCCACGAGGATGATCAGGGGGCGGAGGTGGAGCTGTTGGGGGCTGCAGTCAATTCGTGTCGCGGCGCCTCAGACCCATGGTGCAGATGTAGCAATCTGTGCCCGTCCCCCTTCTCGGTGCTGAGGGTTGATGATGCTGACGATGATGATGCTGCTAGTGATGTTGGCGATGGTATGTTTCCATTCCTGGTGCCAGGGGCCATCTTTGCTGCGTTGGGGCGAGGGCGATCATCTCGCCAGACAGAGTGGGCGCCACGAGACAGGACAGTGCAACAACCAAACTCGAGAGATACGTAGGCGAGAGAGGGAGGAAGGGAGATTTGAGCCGCAGTGTTGCGGCACGCGCCAATGCAACAATCAGAACACCTAGACCGCAACTGCATGGTCTTATTCCGTTCACGGTGCTTGGGGCCATCTTTGCTGCGTGGGGGCAAGGGCGATCGTCTCGCCAGACAGAATGGGCGCAATGAGACAGAACAGTGCAACAGCCAACCTCTAGATATACGTGGTCAACATGCTTGCGCACCCTGGCGCAAAGGGCCGACCAACATTTAACATCTTTGCAGAATTACAAGACGAATGTGGAGACCCTAGCCTGGTGAAGGGGGAAAGGCAGCCTTCACTAGCCAACCAACACCCCACTGTACGAATTGCCGTGGGAACTTGTTCAGAATGAGAGTCCAGGGCCCACCGTGACCATTAACCGCAGCAGAAAACATTTGAACACAACGATTACAATAACAGTTGATTCTTACGGCCAGAGCACAAAGGTCGGGCAGCCAAGAGCGGATACTGAACAATTCAAGACCAAACGATCGCCGGACGGGCATGGGCGGCTCCATGCTGGCAAAAGTTTAACACAACACACTGGGTGGCTAACGAGCGCACGTTCTTAAAAGGAGGCCATGGCCTTTGAGGAGGTGCTGAGGTGCTTGCAGGGGACTCTGCTATCACAGGGACCTTCAGACGGGGGCGCTCGAACATCATGATGGCCAACGAACCCCACAAAAGGTCCCGGGCCGAGATGAGGGGGGCCCGGGCTAGGAGGCAAGAGACGCCCATGCGCCCACGACAACCGAAACGCGAAGCCATCCCGTGATCTCTTGGCGCGCCGCGGGTCGAGACCAATCGAGAGCCTGGTGTTTGCTGGGATCAAGACAGATGGCAACGAATCCATGGGGTCCCAGCGCGCGAACGCCGGGCCAGGCGGCAGCGACGAAACCGACGAGGACAGAGCGAGGCAGCGCACGTGCGCCGCGAAGCGAGGCAGAGAGATGCTGGGTCAGATGTCCGTCCGGCTGGTCGTCAGAGACGGCCGCTCCCGCCCGCGAGGTGACGCGGCCCGCCTCAGCGGCGCAGGCCGCGGGGGCTGGAGGCCCGAGACAGCCGCCTCCATCCGCGTCGCGAGGTTTCCGTCCACCAGTCGGGGATGGACAGAACCCCCTTTAGTAAAACGTGGTTTAGTGAAAACGACCTGAGGCCAAAACCTGGCGGGCGCAAGCCTGGTAAATAACGGCCACGGCGCCCTCTCGAGAACCGAAAACGGACAATTCACTAATCGACGTGTCACTGTTGGGGGTTCTGTCCACCCCCGAGCCGACTGGGGGCGCGTCGTCGGGCAGGTCGTGCAGGGGCTGCCGCAGCGCGGTCCGCTTGGCGCTCCGCCGAAGCCTGCAGTTCGCGGCGCGCCTGCCACGGTCCTGCGCGTCGTGGGGGCGCCGCCGCGCCGCCAGGTCGTCGCTGGCCGCGCCTCGCCGCGGCGCGTGTTGAGATACCGTCGGGGCGTTGACCCGAGGAACGCCAAATAAGGAACCAGGCCCCTCTTTTCCATATAAGTTGAACTTCGATTCCCCATGCAAAAAAAAACCTAAGGGACCCCCGAGGCGAGCTGTAAAACGATCAAGGAACACCGAGCCCCTCCCCAACGAAAAGGGTTCCTTCTCCAGGGCCCCGACCGTACGGAGGAGGAGCGGGTGGACGGGTGCGCCTCCTTTAGACGTGCTCTCCGCCTTATTGTGCTTTCCCTGCCCCCTCGGCCTCCTGAACTTCGATTCCCAATGGAAAACCTGAGGACAACCCACGGCAAACTGTAAAACCATCAAGGAACACCGAGCCCCTCCCCAACGAAACGCGCTCCTTCTCCAGGGCCCCGACCCTACGAGGATAAGGAACGAGGCCCCCTTTTCCCATAAGTTCAACTCCGATTCCCAAGGGAAAACCTAAGGGACAACCCAAGGCAAACCGTAAAACGAACAAGGAACACCGCGCCCCTCCCCAGCGAAACGCCTTCCTTCCTTCAGGGCCCCGACGGCAGCTGACACCGCCAAGGCCGAGGTGCTCGGCCGCTCCGCCGAGGGCGCCGCGGGCCTCTGTCGCGGCGGAAGTCCCGCGCGGCGCCGCCCCGTCGGGTCTGGCCGCCGCGCTGCAGCGCCGCCCACAGCGGCCGCCGCGCACCCTGGTCCAGAGCGACCCTCCCCAACGAAAAGGGTTCCTTCTCCAGGGCCCCGACCGTACGAGGAGGAGCGGGTGGACGGGTACGCCTCTTCTAGGCGTGCTCTCCGCCGTACTGTGCTGACCTCGCGACTCGCGTGACTCGCGACCCTCGCGATCGTCGTGACTAGGGGAACAAAATGTGACATAAACATATAAAAACTCGGAGGTCCCCGCGGACTTCTCGGATCGGCGCTGGACCCCCCTCCCTGGCGCGCGGAGCGCGCCAGGGGCGGCGCCGGAGGCGCCGCGGGGGGGCCCCAGGACACACAAATAAATGCACACAAATTAAATGATTCCCTATTTTTTCAAATATTTCCTTTGGTTTTTGTCTTCCCCCCCCCCCCACTTCCCATATTTTCCCATATTTTCCTGGAGATCGACGATGAATTGTGTCTGTGTGTTTTTTTCCTCCTGATTCTGCTTCTCCCATCCCTCGAGGGCATTGCGCGCCCTCGGCGGGGGGGGCCGCGGAAGGCTGGGCGAAGGCAGCAGGTGACGCGCCGCCGCCGTCGCGGCCCCCCCCCGTTGCCGCATCGAACATGTCCAAGGCCAGGTGCGCCGGGAAAGCCGTCGAGATCGCGTCGAGCCCCTGCGCGGGCGACCACGTCGAGCCCATCCATCCGCGGGCGCCGGGAGACCGGCTGCTGGGCGTGGGCTGCGCAGTGCTGGGCAGTGGCGTCCGTGAGGACGGGGGCCCCCAGGAAGCTCGGGCGCCCGTCCGCCAGCTCCGAGAGAGCGACGACTGCGGGGCGAGCCGCTGGCGGGCCAGCGCCATGGCCCGTGGCGGCCGCCCAGCGCGGCCGTTCCCCTGAGAGACCGCCTCCGACATGATCAATTCCAGGCCGCGGCGCATGCGAACGAAGTCCCGACATGATCAATTCCAGGCCGCGGCGAATGCGAACGAAGAAGCAAGACCTCGACGGGGCATCGGACGGCGCCCCTGCTCTCCTGCGCGCTGGCGAACGGGTTGCTCACGACGCGGTCGTTTAAGGGAATGCCCTCGTCCTTGTCTTTCTTCTCGCTACCCATTGGCTTGAAGGCCTGCTCGACCACCCTCTCCTCCAGAAGCTGTAGGCATGGCGCGATGGTCTCAAGCTGAGCGAGCGCGCCCACGCTGGCCTGGTCGTAGCGCAAGGCCAGCTCCAGGATCCGCCACTCGGCGTGCTCTCGGGTGAGAGGGTCGTCCTCCGACCTCCGCCCCTTCTGCCATCCTCTTCGACTTCCAAGCCGGCGGGGGCGCAGCGCAACGATGGAGATGAGCGCGCGCCCAAGCTGCCGTCCTCCGCCCGCGCACCCGCCAGTCACTCCAGCTGGTCGACGAGTGAGGCATCGCTCCCTCGCGGAAGCCTCTCCACCGATCGCCGCGGGAGTCCCTGGCCACGGGGCTCCCGCGCAGGTCGGACACCGCCGCTGGACCGACCGCAGGCGGAGCCGGCAGCGCACTTCCCCCCAGGCACGGCAGCGGCGGCGCCCCACGCGGCAGCCAGCGCCGCCGCCAGGCCGGGCATGCCGACGTCCGCAGCGACAGAAGCGACGGGCGCCGCCGCAGCGGGGACCGCGCCCACGGCGTCAGCGGGGCCAGCACCCACGGGTGCAGCCAACGGGGCTGGGTCCGCCATGTCTTGCCCGCCCGCCGCCGGGCCGCTGGCGTGGTCCGCTGCAAAGGGCATTGTCGCGGGCGAGGCAAGTCGGGCGATCCAGAACCACTGGTCCCCCTCCGCGATGCCCGTCCAGGCGTCTGCGGCGGACGGCAGCGCTCCGAAGACGTGCGCCCTCTTCGCCGCGGGCCGCTCGTCCTGGCCCGAGAGGATGAGACGATGTCGGCGTCCGGGGCTCAGCTCTCCTCATTGAAACTTACGTTGGAAGTGCCCACATCTCATTAGAGTCAGGGCCTCAAAGAAGGAGGAGCCTTTCATGCCACACGTGCGCACCGCCAACTCGGTATCTGGCAATGTGCCACTGCCGCGGAGGAGACATGCTCACGAATCTGCTTCTTATCCTTGATGGCGCGAGCCTGAGCACGAACTGTCTCCTCGACGTTGGGTGCAGCGGCGCGACAGCGACCCGATGAGCGAGGCCGCCTCCGACGGCACGACGGCACTGGCTGCCAGGACGATGTTCAGCGCCGCGAGGGCGTTGGCCGCGACAACACCTTCACACGACGGCTCCACCACCTGGCCCTAGGTCGGACATGTCCCTGTACAGGCGGATTTTGAACGAAAAACAAAAGATAGTCAAAACATACTCCAAACTGGTCAGGAATAGTCAAACAATCGTCTCAGGCTATTTTTTGACTATGTTTGAACATTCCTCCTGTAGGGAGACAGGCCCTGGCCCCCGCCCCCGCACAGGCGCACGCGGGGGTGGCGGGGCAGGTGGGCTGCGGCGCGCAGGCGCCGCAGCTGGGTGCTTCCGCCCGCGCGACCAGGGAGGCTCCCAGGGTCTGCCCGCCGTATCGCAGCACTTCGCCGACTGGGTGGGCGAGCTTTTGCGGGGTAGACTGCACACATGAAGACTCGAGCCGCAGTGTTGCGGCACGCACGTTGCAACGATCAAGCCACTCAGCAACCAGTAACATGATGACGGCAACGACGATACGTCTGATGATTACGATGATAAAACATATGCTAATGCTGATGCGGCTGATGAAGCTGAAGATGATGATGACGACGATGATGCTGCTGATGATAATGCTGATGATGCTGATGCTGCTTCTGATGATGATGAGTAGGAGTAGTAGGAGGAGGATCAGGAGCGTGGCCGATGAGGAGGAGGATGAGGAGGAACGTGAACACCAACGAGGCCATCGACTTCGCGATACCCCGCACCATGCTGGCTTCAGTCACGGACATGGCCAAACACACTTGGCGGGGGGGGGGGTGCACGTGTTTTGCTTCGGCAATTTAGCCAGCGCCGTTGTGAGGACATCTAGCCGATGGGGGGCACTTACGGGGCACCCGTTTTGCAGGAAGAGGAGGAAGAGGAGGAGGAGGAGGAGGAGGCGGAGGAGGAGGAGGAGAAGGAGGATGAGGAGTGTCATTGTCCTCGACGGGGCTAGTTCACCCTCATCCATCCACACATTACTCAGTCCTGGCTCACCTGCCCTCCCCCGTGCCTCTTCCCCCCCCCCCTCTTCCCCACCCCCTTCTCGACCCCTGCACCCTGACCAACCTCTCTTCTCCTCCCCTGCCCTTATCACTCCCCGTGCACACACCCCTTCGTCCACTATAGTCTCCCCCTCTCCTCCCATCCTCTCCGCCTCCCTCTACCCCCGCACTCCTCTCCCCTCCAGTATCCCTGCCTTCCTCCTCCGCCTCCTTCTTCTTTGCCCCTCATCTTGCCCCCTCACCTCTCCTCTTCTCCTCTGCATTCTTTCTTCAAGACTTCTCACCTCCCGCCGTCCCCTCGCCTCCTCTTCTCACTCCTCCGGTTCCAACCGCCTCTCCTCCCCTGCTGCCTCGGCTGCGATGCTGGTCGACGCTCTCGGCGCCGCCGCCGCCATAGGCTACCTCCAGACGGAGGAGGGGGGAGGCAGGTGGAAGAGAGCGAGCAGGGTGGAAAAGGGAGCGATAAGAGGGAATGATGGAAGGAGGCGTGAAGGAGGGGAGGGAGGCAAGAGGGAACCAGGTGTGGAGACAAGGGGGAGATAGAGATAGGGATGATAGAGAGACACGTTGAAGGGAAGGGAAAGGGAACGCATAGGGAAAGTAGAGGGTGGTGGACTGGGACACACGTGCGGAAGGGGATGGGCACGGCGACGAGGGTGCATTCTCCCCGAACCGACCTCGATCTTGTGCCTCGGTCCGACTGTAGTGATCGTTACATAGGAGGGTAACGCGAGGGAGTGTAGAGGATGAAAAGACATAAACATACACTGTTGGCGCTCCGCAAGGGTTTTCTTGGATCTGCGCTGGACCTCCCTTCTTGGCGCGCGGGGCGCACCAGGGGCGCCGCCGGAAGCGCCGCCAGGGGGGGCCCAGCGCCGATCCAAGAAATCCGCGCGGAGCGCCAACAAGTTTATGTTCATGGCGTGTTGCCTTCTTCGAAGGAGGGCAGCGATCACACCTGCTCCGATCCCATCGGCGATGCGGCGGAATCCTCCGATCCCGTCTTCTCCGACCCCTTCCAGGAGGCCCAGAAGTGATCGTTACATAGGCGGGTATACTATAAGATTTCTCGGTGCGCGCGTCGCCCCTGGGGGGGCGACGAACACATAGAATATGTTGTGGGGACGCCGATCTATCCCAATTTGGCGGGGCTTGACGTGAAGGCCTCTCCACCTCCATCGCTCATTGTGCCAAGTATGCGTCTGTTCCATCGCTCAGTTTCCCATACGCACGCAGATCCACCCCCCCAATGGACGATGACGATGGGCCCCACATTCGACCCTCACGCCTCGTGTGCTCTGAGAGCTCCGTCCGTCACCAATCAACCGTTCCTGTTGCGCAACACGTGTCGGCAACTTTTACATACACCGTCCGAACCAACATGTAATCAGCTTGTTACTGCTTCACGTTGAATTGCCAGCTATTGCGTCATATGGCATCGCCGAAGACCTCCTGTTGGAACTTTGCTCGTCTTGATCCTCTGCGTACGTAGTCTCGCTTTCTTTTTTGTGTTTATCTCTCTCTCGTCCTCGATCACACAGCATGAGATCTGTGCCTGTCCCGTACACCTCCGACAGTAGTTGTCAGATCGTGCTTCCTCGGACCGATCTCGCTGAGGATGGGGATTATGAGGATGGTGAGGATGAGGAGGAGGATGAGGATGATGATGAGCATGATGATGAGGAGGAAGAGGAGGATGAGGACGATGATGATGAGGATGATGAGGATGAGGAGGATGAGGACGATGATGATGAGGATGATGAGGATGATGAGGATGATGAGGATGAGGATGAGGAGGAGAAGGATGAGGATGAGGAGGAGGAGTCGCTCCAGACAGTCGGAGCCCCACAGAAACTGCCACCTCCCGGGGGAGCGCACGCCGCACTCCCCGCCCGGCTCCTGCCCGCCTTCCGCCCGCGGCAGCCCCCGCCGTGCTGCCGCCGCCCGCCGCCGAGGAAGGCACGCCGGCACCCCGACCCCCAGGACCGACAGTGCCGCTCGCGGGGTGCACGGTTTCCCCCGGGGGCGTAGGCGGCCCGAGGAGGAGGAGGAGGAGGAGGAGGAGGAGGAGGAGGAAGAGGAGCGATCGGACCGAGAAGTCGGCTCGGCTCCTGTTGCTGGGCCCTCCTCCTGGGAGGCCGGCCCGTCCCGTGGCCCCCTCCCCTCCCGCTCCCCCCGCCTCTCCTCCCGCCCTCCCGCCTCTCCCTCCCGCCCCTGCCCCTTCCCTCCTGGCTCCCTTTTTGCCCCCCCACCTCCCCCTCCTACTAATTACCCTTCCTCCTCCTTATCCTCCTCCTCCTCCCCCTCCTCCTCCGCCTCCTCCTCCTCCTCCCCCTCCTCTCCTCCCTCCTCCTCCTCCTCTTCATCTTCCTCATGCTCCTCCTCCTCCTCCTCCTCTCCTCCTCTCCTCCTCCTCCCTCCTCCTCCCTCCTCCTCCCTCCCTCCTCCTCCTCCTCCTCCCACCCACGCCTCCTTTCGCTTGATTCCCCCTCCCCTCCCCGCTTCTCCCGCACTCTGCGCGAAGGGCGCTCCCCCCGCACTCTTGCGCGAAGGGCAGCCTCGCCTCGAGCCTCCTGCCGAGCTCCCTGGCGAGGCCCTCGTGGTGCCTGGCGCGCCCGAGGGCCGTGGAGGGCAGGCCGGCGCCGCGCAGACGACGACGACGACGACGACGACGACGACGACGACGACGACGACGACGACGACGACGACGACGACGACGACGACGACGACGACGACGACGACGACGACGACGACGACGACGGAGGGGCTGGGCCGGCCCCAGCCTGGCCCCTCCGCCGGCTCCTGATTCGCAAGCGCAATGAGAACGGGGCCCCCTCGTGGTCCTGCCTCGCACGCCAAGAAGGGCGCCCGCTCTTGCTCCATGGGGCCTCCAGCTCAGGCCCCCCCTGACACCAAAACGGCCCCCCTCTTGCCCCCTCTGCCAGCTCGTGCCTGCTGGGCCCGAGGGCGAGAGAGAGAGAGGGAGGGGGACGGCCCCTCCCGCCTCCAGCCCCGCCCCTGTAGGACGAGGCCAGAACAGGGACAACATCGGACCAGGGTGCAGTCGGGCTCGATTGGAGAGGACAAGCGAGAGGACACAAGACCCTTCCAAGGGCTACATTGCCACAGGAGTTTAGGAGGCACGGGCCTTTCAAGACAGGACACAAGGGTACCCTTGACTTGGCAAGGTCGACCTACTAATCAAGGCCGACTGTAAATGGGGGATCTCTGAGAACCACCAGCTCTAGAGGATGTATCGGGCGCCGCGGCCGTTCCAGAGCCCCCCAGAACGCTCTGAGAGCCCTTCGGCACGCTCTGGAAGGATTTCCCCTTGTCACAGCCCCGACGACCCGACTCAGCCCTTCCCGACCATGTCGGGCGAGTGGTGCTGCTGGGTGACCATTGGGGGCGTGAAGAGAAGGACCCGAAATGGGGCCCTTTAGGGCCGCTTTGGAAGCCAGCAGGGGCCCCAAAGGCGCCCTCTAAAGGGCTCCTGTAAGATTTGTTCTTCGCCCCAGATTTGGCTCACCCCCCATCACCACCCGCCCGACCATGGGGGGGACAAAAGGTGCCGATACTGCTACTCCTCCTGCTTGGAGCAGACGCCCAAAACAGCTGCGTGGAACAAGCGCCCAAAACAGCCAAGAACTACTCCATGGAGGGGGGGGGCGGGGTGCGAGGGCCCGCGCTGATCGGCAAAACAATGAATAAGAAAACAATCACCATGGGGGGACAACATGTTGCCGATGCCGCTACTCCTCGGCCCCCTCTCCAGGGGTGCGTTTCTGCCAGAGAGATCGAAGCGAATTTGGCCGCGGCGACGGGGAAAAGGCAACAGGGTCGGCATCCTGCTCTTCCGCGGAACTGGCCACATCTGGGGGACCCGTGCTCCTTTCAGTAAACGCTTACAGTTAAGTCGGTGGCGAGAGAGGGGGGAAGTGCGAAGAAGAAGACCTTCTCATCCTTGGCCACTTTCGCTGGCCGCGCCCCGCTCAAAAAGTTCCGAACTGGCCATCCAAGACCCTTGTATCCTTATCGTGACCCTTACTCGGCGGCGGGCGAGGGGGGAAATAAGAAGGAGAAGGCCTTCTCAGGAATCACGGGATTCCCCGGCCTTCCGAGAAGTTTCCTAAGCCTTCCCCGAAGACATAGAACACTTCTCAGGTCTGGGGGCTTCTGAGAAGCTTCTGAGAAGCCCCAGCGCCTTCTGAGAAAGCCTTCTCCTTCTCACTTCCCCCCTCTCGCCCGCCGCCAAGTAAGGGTGCACGATAAGAATGCAAGTGCAACCTTTCGAGCGGGGCGCGGCCAACGAAAATGGCCAAGGATGAGCCGACCAACCACATCTGGGGGAGCCGTGCTCCTCGCAGTAAGCGCTTACAGTGAAGGTGCACGATGAGGATGTCAGGGCCTTGGATGGCCTTTTCGGCACCTTTCGAGCGGGGCGAGACCAGCGAAAGTGGCCAGGGATGAGCCGAAAGGGGACGATACATAGGTGACCTTGGGTGTCCTCAATGAGCCCTGATAGCGGCGCGATGGCCGTAAAATTAGGTCGGGCATGTTCGCCCCCAGGCGGATTTTGCACGACAAATCACAAAATAGTCAAAAGTTACCCTCGAATAATCAAAACATGTGCCAAACATCATCCCCAGACTCATTTTTCAACTATTGTGACTATTCCTCCTGTAGAGGGGCATGCCCGACTTCATAATAGCGGCGCGATGGCAGTGACAGAGGGGCACGAGATGGCGGTGGTGCCTCTTTGACGGGCGGCAGTGCCGCGTGGCCTGGCGCACAGGGCCCCTGCCACTCCCGGGAGCTTGCTGCCCCAGGGTGACGTGGGGGTTGCTCAAAGCAGCCGAGCGCCGGGCAAAGGAAAAATATTCAAAGGGGCCCAAGGACACACACACACATAAATACACACAAATAAAATGGTTCCCCATATTTTCCCATATTTTCTGGGTTGTTGTCTTCCCGCCCAATTCCCATATGTTCCTACGTTTTCTTGGAGTCGACGATTCATTGTGTCTATGTGTTTTTTCCCCTCCTGAAAGATGCACGTTGGTGTTGGCACACGGGAGCGTATTCTCGACGGGCCCGACTAGCGGTGCGGCGGTGAAACAGGGGCACGCGATGGCGGCGATACCTTCTTTACGGGTGGCGGTGCCGCGGGGCCCTGTCTGCAGGGCTCCTGCCACTCCCAAGCACTTGATTAGAGGCCTCCGAGATGGAGTCCGGGCCTGATGGGGTCGGAGGATCGCGCCGCATCGCCGATGCATCGGTGATGCATCGGAGACTCATCGGCGACGTCGGCGTGAAGAAAACCGGGCTCCGCATCGATGCGGCGCGGTCCTCCGACCCCACTTGCTCCGACCCCGTCGAGGCCTGGATTGATGCCCCCCCCTCTGCCATGGAAGCGGGGCTGGAGCACCGGACGTGAGGAAATGGAGCACGGGCCCCTCCTTCGCCGCCTCTCATCCTACAGCTGCTCCCCCTTCTCATTCTCCACCTCCTCCTCCTCCTCCTGCTCCTCCCCCTCCTCCTGCCCCCCCGTCCTCCTCCTCCCCCTCCTCCTGCCCCCCCCTGTCCTCCTCCTCCTCCTGCCCCCACTGTCCTCTTCCTCCTCCTCCTCCTCCTCCTCCTCCTCCTCCTCCTCCTCCTCCACCCCCCGACGCTGCGAACGTCGGCGCCTCGCTCCACGGAGGCGGACTCCGCCCCCCCCCCCCGAGACGCTGCGAGCGTCGGGGCCCGCCCGGCCTCCAGCGGGCACCGGCGAGCCGAGCCCGTCGCAGGCCGCGTTCGCTCCCGGGGAGGGTTGGTGCCCCGGTGGCTTGCTCCGCACCACCGCCTCCGCCAGTGCCGCACCGCGGACGTGCCAGAGGGCAGGCAGAAAGGGGGGGGGCACAGACTGAGACACAGAAGCTCTGCGAACCCGCGTAACTGAAGTTGCCTGGAGCTAACTACCAGTAGACTCAACATAGCTTAGCATAGCTACCGCATGACTTATGCTAACTTCAAACAGCGAAGCTAAACGTTCCACCTCGCCATTTTCGTCATCGAAGCGCTGCTGCTGGCTTGCATGCGTAAAAAGTGGCCAGTCCCAATGTGTATCGGTATCGGATCATGTAAATAATTGCGGTGGGAGCAACAACTTAAATACACTTTCCCAACGCTTGCGTCACCGCCCTCATTCTTGTTGCAAGCGCTTGCGATTGAATGTCGTATTTTGGAGTATTATACATTGGAGCGCTTGCTTTTTCTGCAAATGAACGCGCTTGCGATTGCTGGAAACTCCCAGTGGGAAGCTCCGCCCAGGGCCCCACCGACGGCGGTCGCATGCCGCCTCCGCCCATCTGGGCACCACGCGCTTCGTGGCCCATAAGAACTCCGCCGACTTCCCCATCATTGGCAACGGTCTCGTGCCACCTCTAGGGGATTTGGGGCGATTCCGGCGCACCCCTCACGCGTTTCGTGGCCCCAGAGGGAGCTCCACCGAAGGCCCCAGTGGCAACGATCGAACGACGACACCGACCCATCTCGGAAAATCTCTCACACGCTTCGCGGCAGTGGTCGCATGATCACACCGTCCCTCTCGGCACCCCCATCGTGCGATTCGTGTCCCCCAAACTGGGCTCCGTGGAACGAAAAGAGCAGACTGAGCAGGAGACGGAAGCGGGACGGACGGAGGGGAAGAAGAGGCGGATCAGGAGGATGAGGAGGGGGAGGAGGATAATGGAGAATGGAGAAGCCAGGCGCACCAGGGTGCGAGTTCGGTGAACTAAAAGGCTGCGCCTGGTCACAACGGAACGCTCGCAACAGCAGCGGGCGCTGCGGCGGCTACAAATTCGCCCACGGCCATGCCGTGGGTAGCCGCCCGCACATATGAAATGAGGCCGTCGCGTCCCGCGTGGGCGCGGGTGAATTGGCCATGGCCAATCTCAGCTAAACTCTCACGGCCTTTGCGCGTGAGACCTGAGCATGGCGCGGCGAGGTGGCGGGGGTCCTCCGTCGTCGTCTTTCCGCAGAGGCGACAAAAGTAAAGACAGTACTTCTGCATGACATGTAGCTCGCAGGACTCATGTAGCTCGCGCCCGCTTAGTGGGGCAGTGCCGCACAGCGGCACCTCGTGCTCACTAGCGGTGGATTCGGGTGGCTTATGGTGGCAATGCGTGCTGCACGATTGCCGCACCGTGCGTTTGCCGGACGTGGGCCCGCATCGCGAGCACCTGCGCTTGCTCGCGCGGAGCTCGCACTCGTGTGCACTCGACTGGAAGGCGATGCTGCAGCTCGGTGGGGCGCGGGCCGCGCGCCTGCCGCACCGCGGGCCGGCACCGAGCGGATCAGCTAGTGTTCGTCGGGCCCTCGGGCGGACGAGGGCGCACTGGGCGTCGTGCGGGCCCGTGGGAGGCGCCTCTGCACAAAGCGCAGCCTCCCGAGCTCTGTGTGCAGCCGCGCCTGCCCACGCGGTCGCCGCATGCGGTGCCCGGCGTGCGGAAGTGCCCGACGGGGTCCGCAGGCAGTACCCGAGGCCTTCGCAGGCGGAACGGGGAAGTAGGATGCCGAGGACAGAGAGGGGCCTCCTCCTCCTCCCTCCTCCTCCTCCCTCCTC